CAGCTAATACAGCCATATGTGTCTTGAACACTTGCTTTTTGTTCAGCAGGTATTTCGTCTGTGTCATTGTCATCTGATGCCGTTTTTCGTTTTCTTAACTTTGGTGTATCAGGTCTCTTGACATTTTCAACTCTTGCTTGAAGTTGCTTTACCAGGGAATGATATCCAGGTCCAATAACATCACCATCAATCACATCTTGAAGGGACTTTGGATACCTGGCCACCATCTTTTTTGCTATATCTGTAGTGTTGTGTTTGGTTGGATTCTTACAAGTCTTCATCATTTCAGAGACCACGATCCTTATCATTTCTCGTCGTTGTCTTGCACTTGGTCTTTTCTGTCTTTCCAAGTTCTGCATCAAATCCTCAGGGAGCCTTTGCCAAGGTATCTCAAATCTCTCTACCCAGTTTGGCATTAATGGTGTACAGATTCCTAAAGGTGATGAAGTAGTGGTGGATGACGCTGGTGAAGAAGAAATTGAGGGTGGAGAGGGACTGGCACACAAGGGAGATGAATGCACAGGGTTTGGTGTGGAAGTGTTTGACACTGTAAAAGTACAAAAAAGAAGATACAAAAGAATTACCCATTTAACTCTTTTTTTCTTCTGTTTTGTTAAATTATACACTGATTGCTACATTTTAAGATCTTATGGTTACATAAAATGATGATGTGATGACAGTGTTTTACACTTACCATTTTGGGTCCAGGAAGCAACCAGTCTTCGGGCTTGTATGGGTTTCAACACTGGCAGCAAGTCATTTTCTGTAATGTACTTTAAATCATCTGTGGTTTCCACACCAAGTGTTCTCAAAGTATCTTCAACTGACTTCACAAGTTGATCAGGAAGGTCTGGAAACACTCCTGCTATTGCATCCCTCATGGCCCTTAGCTCCTGTGATTCAGCCATATCTGTTAAGAAACAAACAGTTTGGTCTCTGGCCTAATGACATCAAGATATTCAGTCTGAAAAGATGCTGTGCTTCAGTGGAACAATCTGCTGTCCATTTTTCACATAAGATGACAACGGCCACAAGTCAACCAGTTCACTGATGAGTCTGCACTCTATTCTTCCAGTGTCATTTTTTACTGAGTACATGTGGTAGTAAGAAAGAAATTCTGCATCATAAACTCTCATCAGGAAATGAAGAGCAGAATCCTCTTTAACAAAAACTATAGCAGAAATTATTCTGTCAAATCCATAAATATTAGAGAAAACCACAAAAC